CCCCCTACTGCGCGGGCGCAGGGAGTTGCTCTCTAAGCGCCCCCCTACAGGGGACGCGTTGACTCTGTAAGCGCCCCCTACAGGGACGCAGTTGCTGCTGTAAGCGCCCCCGCTAAGCAGGGACTCGTTGCTCTGTCGAGCGCGCACCTAACGGGCAGGAGTCGCTCTGTAAGCGCCCCCTACAGGGGACGCGTCGCTACTGTAAGCGCCCTCAGCACGGGCAGAGCTCGGCTGTTGTGTGGATGTAAACACGTCCGCTAGCGCTTGTAAAAGTTCAAGCGTTCTCCGTCGGTAACAATCATAATTTATTCCCAGTTCATTGTCCCTGTGTGTCTCCCACTGTACAGGACGTCTCACCTCTCTCTTTCTTTCTCCTCCTGAGCTCACTCAGCTGCTCGCTGCATCGTCTCTTTCGCCCCGCTCTACTGGCAGGTGCCAGACAGTGCTGGCGTGAACGCCCCCTATAATCAACCGCCCATATGTCAGCGCCCTCTAATATGCGAGAATTAGCTTCTCCTCTCGTCTCTCTCTTTCTTCTCGACTCTCTCTCTCGTCTCACTCTCAATCTCTCATCTCTCTTCTCGCGTCGTCCTCTCTCTCTCTTCTCGACTCTCTCTTTCGCGCTCGGTCATCCCTCTCTCTCTCTTGCTTCCCCTCTCTCTCTCACCTCACCTCCTCTCTCTCACGCTGCTCTCATCTCTCCAATTGTTTCTGCTTTTTTCTCTCTTCTCCTGTCTTTCTTCTCCTTGGACTCGCACTCTGCTTCTTTCGGCAGCACTCTGCCTTTTCTCATTTTCCTCTTTCTCCCTTTCGTCTCTCTTCCCTCTGAAACTTTCCGCACTCTGCCTCTTTCGCGCTCTTTCTCTTCGCCTCTGTCTTTCCCTGTCTCTCTTCTCTCTCTCTCTGTCCTGATCGCTCTGCTTCACTTTTCCTGCAGGCTCCTTCTCTCTCTGAACTCGCACTCTGCTCTTTTCGCCCTCTCTCCCCCTGAAATCGCACTTTGCCTTCTCTTGGTCCGCTCCCATCCTCTTTCCCTGCTCCACTCTGCTACTCCTCTTTCGCCGGCTACTCTCTCCTCTTCGACTATCGCCTCTTGCTTCTTTCCGCTCTGCTCTCCTCTCTCTTATTCCTCCGACTCGCACTTCACGCTGCATTTCGTCGCTCTCTCTCTCTCTCTGAACTCTCGTTTCCACTTGCTTTTTTCGCGAGCCTCCCTCACTCTCTTCTCTTGAGTCTATACTTCTCTGCTCTCACTCTCTCTCCTCCTCTCCCTCTCTCTCATCTCTCTCTCTCTCGCTCTCGTTTATTGTCGTTGCTGTCTCTTTCCCTCCTCCTTCCTGCTGTTTTCCTCTTCTCCTCTTTTCTCTCTCTTCCTCCTTTCTACTTCTGATCCGCACCCCTGCTCTTCTTCTTTCCTCGCCTCTCACCCTCTTTCCCTCCTGACTCTGCATCTCTCCTGCTTCTGCTTTTTTTCCTCCCGCAAGCCTCGTCTGGTCTTTTGATCCTCGCCATCTGCTTCTTCTCTCTCCTCGCTCTCGCGCTCTCGTTCTTTCACCTCATCTCCCTTCGAACTCGCACTCCTTGCGGCTTCTTTTTTCGCGCTGCTCTTCTTTCCTCTCTCTCCTCTCTGTCCTTTCCTCTTGTCTACTGACTCGGCAGACGGTGCTCTCGCCTTCTCTTTCCGCTCGCGCTCTCTCTCTCTCTGAACTTCGCACCTCCCCTTTCTGCTCAGCGCTCTCTCCTCACTTTCTCTCTAGCCTTCGCTACCTCTGCTTTCTCACTTTCTGCCCGCTCCATCACCTCCCTCCCTCCCTCCGCCTCCATCTCTCTCTCTCTACTCTCCCCTCTCTCTCTCTCCCTCCCTCGCCTCACTATCTCTCTCTAACTCACTCGTGTGTGTGTTACAGGTACTGTCCTCAGTGTAAGAAGCATCAGCAGGCGACAAAGCAGTTTGACCTGTGGCAGCTTCCGCGCGTGCTCGTTATCCACCTGAAACGCTTCTCCTACAACCGCTACTGGCGCGACAAGATCGACACACTCGTCGAGTTTCCCATCAGGCGAGTCTCACCTCCGCATAAGGGTCGCACCTCCGAATAAGGGTCGACCAGCGTGTAAGGGTCACACCTGCGTGTAAGGGTCATATTTCCGTATAAGGGTCGCACCTCCGTATAAGGGTCGACCAGGCGTGTAAGGGTCGCATAGTCATCGAATGGTTACACGCTCGAGTCGGTAACTTCGTACATGGTTTGCTCGGGGATGTAACGTGGCAGGACTGTGGTGTGGGGTGTGCAGTTGAAACTGTGTATAAGGATCAGGGGGTCTTAAACGGCTGTATACTCGGGCCGCAGGGCTCACTAGCGTGTGGTCGAAACCTCTGTATAAGGGGCAGTGTCCTAAAATCTCTGTACACTTAAATTGGTAATTATATGTGTATATATATGTTTATAGTATGATTGGAGATATATATTATATTGTGGCGGCTGTGGCTGTGGCTGTGGCTGTGGTAGATTTGATCGTAGATCGTGTGTTTTTAACGTCGCGCGATGTCGTTCTAATCGAGACAAACGTTCTCTTGTCTAATCGCAGCGGATTGAACATGGCGAAAAATGTGATCAACCCGATGCATCCACCCGTCGTTGACTACGACCTAATCGGAGTCACCAACCATTATGGCGGCATGGGCGGAGGCCATTGTAAGTAATGCTGCAGGGCGTATAATCTTGTGCGTGTGTACTCATAAACGCACGTGTGTGAGGGCCACAGGTATTATTCAGGCACTGTTCCAACTTTAGTTGTGGTCGAGTATGTAATCGATTATTTTATTTGTATTTTTTAGTTATAGTGTATTTTTTATGTTATTTTTATTTTTATAACTTGAAAGTTTATAAGTTTTAAAAGGTTTTTTGAAGTTAAATAAGTTTTTATTATATTTTACGTTTCATTTTTGTAAGTCTATATGTTTTTTTCGGTGGCATTTCAGACACGGCTTATGCAAAGAACAAGGACGACTCGCACTGGTACTACTTTGACGACAGCAGCGTTTCGGCTGCTAACGAGGAATCGTGCGTGGTGAGTCATCGCTGCCCACGTGTCAGGCTAGCGGGGAACCCCCGTTGTCACGCGCGACAGCTTACCTGAGCTTACCTGAGCTTACCTGTGCGGTCGGTCTGATTCCGGTACCTGCGTGGATGCTCGAGCGTATTTTAGAGTCTGTGCGGACAATCGGGCATGTCTGTGAGCTTGTATAAACACTCAGTCCTGTTCCAGAGTTCGTATGAACACTCAGTCCTGTTCCAGAGTCCGTATGAACACTCAGTACTTTTTAAGAGCCTATATAAACACTGTCTTGTTCCAGAGTTCGTATGAACACTCAGTCTTTTTTAAGAGCCTATATAAACACTCAGTCCTGTTCCAGAGTCCATATGGATGCTCAATCCTATTCGGGGCAGTATGAAAACAATCAGTCTTTATCAAGAGTGTGTATAAACACATTCAATCACGTCCCAGAAATTGTATGAACACTTAGCTCCATCAGAGAACATGTTCAAAGGTTCACCCATGTCCAAAATACTCTTAGTCCAAAATACGATGTCGAGGTCTTTTTCGAGAGCTTATTCGGTCACGTTCCAGAGCCAGTATGACTATTTGTATATATTAACTCCACTCAGTACAATCAGAGTATAAACAGAGAATAAATGTAAACAGCAGTACAATCAGAGAGTCTATGTGAAGGATGAGTTCCATCGGAGAATGTGTGAAGGCCTTGTCATGTCCAAAATACGATGAGTAGGCATACTAGTGTCCTATGGCTCGTATTAAAGCCTGTCTTACGAGTTTTTTGCTCAGAAACATTCAATACAAAAAAGAATATAGCGAACTATAGTCTCACCTTACAGCGGATATATCACTGATACATTAAAAACACCAAGATTTTATACAGTTATAGCATAGAAAAATGGATTTGACCACATCCTACCAGCTCCGCATATTATCGTGTTCGAGGCAGTGTAGCGTCCTATCTCTCGTGTTAATGCTTCGTCATTCTCTCTCCTTGCAGTCGAAAGCCGCGTACGTTCTCTTCTACGCGCGCCGCGATCCTAGCGCCCCCTGTGAACGACAGCCGCAGTTGATCCAGCCGCCCCGGGCCGGCTGTTGGGTGGCGCCCTCTGCATCCGCCGGCGCGCCCAACGGCGACAACTCGACAGACGACGAAGAACAGATGGACGTCAACTAGGCGGCAGCGCGCGCGCGAGAGAGAGACGCTCGTCTGTTTTCGAGAGGAGCCGTTCGCTCCCTGGGTTTCGCCACCAGGTGGCGCCGGCGAGCGGGTGCGACGAGGTGTATAATTTTGTTGTCGGGAGCCGAGAAAGCTGTCACTGACGACGCAACATGCTAGATGTAAAATTATTTGAGAGATTCGTGAGAGAGAGAGAGAGAGAGAGAGAGAGAGAGAGAGAGAGAGAGAGAGAGAGAGAGAGAGAGATAAAGAGAGAGAGAGAGAGAGAGAGACAGAGAGAAAGAGAGCGAGAGAGAGAGAGAGACAGAGATAAAGAGAGCGAGAGAGAGAGAGAGAGAGAGAGAGAGAGAGAGAGCGTGTGTGTGCGAGTCGCGTGTGTGTGTGTGAAGCTACCTTGCTTTCCTAACCAACCTTGCTTTGCGAGAAGGCGACTGATTACAGGACGGGACGTGTTGGGCGCTCGTTTAGTTCTCGTTTCTCTCGGTGGAGGCGCCACCGTGCACGTGTAAGGATCCGGTGGATCGTTTAGGACGCAAGGAAAAGAATGCGTTATCTCGTTATGACAAGATATTTTCTGGTTACATCAAAATAAATATATTGTTATGTCGTTATAACAAATTATATTCTCGTTCTACATAATCATCTCGTTATAACGAGAAAAATGTATAATTACATCGTTGTAATAAAATATTTTCTCGTTATAACGATATAACCGCGTAATTGCATCGTCATAACGAGAAAAGATCTATAAAAGGTACAAGAGACAATGTTTTTTTCTCGCGTCTTAAACGAGCCGTCGTAGAAGGAAGCCTCGTGGCTGGTGTGTATGTGTGAGGGGGCATTCTCTGATCCTAGGCTCTCTCTCTCTCTCTCTCTCTCTCTCTCTCTCTCGCTCGTACTTGCCGTAACGAGACATCAGGAGATGCGATAACGTGTTCTCGCCGCTGTGGCTCGCTCGTCGTCAGAAACGTCGTAAGCGATCGCGACAGCCGCGCGTCTAGAACGTCGTAACCCCCATCTCCGCTTTCCGCTTCGCTTCCGTCTCTCGCGGCGGTTTTTAAAACTCGTGACATCGTGACCGCTTGCGATGTTTTTGACACTGGGCGGGCGTCTGTTTCTCACATGTGAGCTTTGCTAGTGTGTCAGCGTTCCTGTTGATTTGTGATTAGGGGGCATGGGCATCGGTGAGGTGGGTTTTACACGAGCATGCCTCTCTAACGGGGAAATCTAGATATCGAATCCGACGTGTTTGCGGACTGTAAAAAAGCGTGAATATATAATAGACGAATATGTGAGTGTGTGCCCACCCACGCATGATAGCTTCCCCTCCTCCTCCTCCTGCTCCTCCTCCTTCCCCACTCCGGCACGCGTGCGCGTACACACGGGCTGTCTCTCTGATCGCTTTTTAAGTTCTGTTATGGATATGGGTCTCCGTCTCGTACTTTCCGTGTGGTGTTCGTTGGACTGTTATTTGGTTGTATGTATTTTGCACCACGTCGGTACGAAGGCGGGCTAGGACTCGTGCATTCATTCTCTCTACGTTGTTAAACCTCCCTGCTCTGTATCTACTGTTATAATATATACTATGACTGTGAGCCATCATCCCTCCTTCGCTCCTTCGCTTCCGGCGTGCAGTGCGGGGCGGTGCATCGCGCGCGCACCGTCCAGCCGTAAAATCTCTCTCTCTCTGTCGCTGTTCCTCCTTCATGTGTAGTTTCTCCGTGCATGGTTTCCTCCGCGATGCCAATGCCTTCCTTCCTCTGCAGGAGGGAAGCTGTGATGGGAAGCTTGGCTTGGCTTCTTTTCTTCCTCTGCCAGAGGGAAGCTGCGATGGGAAGCTTGGCTTGGCTTCTTTTCTTCCTCTGCCTTATTTCATATGCCCCCCGTATCAGGTTATTATTATCCGGGCATAAAAAAAAAAGTTTTTTTTGGAATTTTTTTTTTTTTTTTTTTTTTTTCCCCCTCTTTCCAAATGGTATCGCCGACGACTCGTTCGCATGGCTGAAAAAGATTCGCCAGGCAAATGGCTTGCGTTTTCCAGTCGTCAACCATTTTCACCCCCCCAAAAGCACAAATATGATTATACGGCTTATAATACGCGGCCTTTTTTACATTCACCACTAAGCCCATATACACATCCACTAACGGACGCGCACACGCGGGCGTGGTCGCACGCACGCGTGCGCGTGTATTATAGGCGTAAATTCACCAGTTTTTGTGCCTCGCGGCCGTTTGAAAAGTTTCGCGGCTGAAATTACGCGTCGATTTTGAGCCAAAGTTTTTCCATTGCTTGACTGTCGTGGCCAATACTATCCGCCGAGGAGAGGGTAAGGAAGTGAGCAAAGGAAAGACACGTGGTAAAGGCGAGTCATATATAATTGTATATACACATATGTATATATAAAATATATATATATATAAATTATATATAACATATGTGTATATTATTATATATAGCGCCGAGAAAGAGAGAAAAATTGCGAAAGAGAGAGAGATATTACACACACACTAGCAGGTGTGGATGTGTGGTGTGTGTGTGTGTGTGTGTGTAAGTGGCGATGCGTGCGTGCGTGCGTTGCGTGCGTGCGTGGCGTGCCTGTGCGTGCGTGCGTGCGTGTGTGACGAGGAAATATTGCGAAGAGAGAGAGCGGAGCGAGACAGAGAGAGATGGACTGAGAAAGGGAAAGAGAGAGTGTTGTGTGCGTGTGTGTGTGTGAGAGAGATGAGAGGATAGAGAGAGGAGGGTGCAGGGTCATGGAGAGGAGAGGGTGAGCGGAAGGCAGAGAAGTAAACGTCTATTATTGGAAGGACTATGTGCATTCGTGTCTGTGTGTGTGTGGCAGTTTTGTGCGTACGTGCGTTTGTCGCGCGTGTGTACTGCGCGATGCGTATGCACATCACCGTCCGCATTCCTCCCTCCCTCTGTCCCTCCCTTCCTTCGCCTCCTCTTCCCTTTCCTCCCTTTCACCTCCCTTCCTCAATATTTCCCTCTCCTCTCTGCGGAGAGTTATCGCCACGGCATCAGTTGCACGGGCTGAAAAGTTCGCCAGGCTATATGGCTGCGTTTTCCAGCTCGAACCTTTTCACCCCCAAAGGGGCACAAAATATGATTATACGGCTATAATACGCGTTTTTACAGTCACACAAGCCCTATACACATCCACTAATGACGCGACCAACCCGCGGGCGTGATCGCACGCACGCGTGCGCGTGTATTATAGGCGTATATTCACATGTTTGTGCCTCGGGGAGGGAAAAGTTTCGCCTCGGAATACGATTCATTTTGATGCAAAATGTTTTTCGCGATGCTTGATGGTCGTGCGGCGATACCATCCGCGAGAGGGATTAAGAATATGTGATTACTTTTATTCACTGTTATGTTACTGACCTGACACAGCAGATGAAATGTCAGCATAAAGAACCGGCAACTGTTTATTTTATTATTATTATTATTAAATATTTATTGCATGTACAATACTACAAATACATGTACTAAAGTCAATCTTTTTCATGGACAAAAAATGTGATAAATGCAATAGTGTTGAGCAGTTAAAATAATAATTAAAATTTCTGAGTGTTACATCAAAGTTTACATATCAATTGTTACAGGACATGACATGAATTTCTACGTGAATGACAACATGAACGACATTGTGTATCGTCGGTATCAGCGAGCTATAGCGGCTGTTTAATCCTGCTGTCGGCATCAGTGTAAAACAACTATTTTGACTTTTATATGAATCTAAGGTATATATGATGGACTCTAAAAGCAAAACTACGTTGTCATAGAATTGTCTGGAAAATACATGTCTTGAAAACATTATTGGGGGGGGAAACACAGTGTGATGCCAGTTTAACGTCTGAACGTATATTTCATTGATATTTAATATATAAACGTTTATTTCCTTTAAATATAATATCACAACGTGCATTTCCTTGGAATTTAACATCTGAACATGCATTTCCTTGGAATTTAACATCTGAACATGCATTTCCTTGAAATTTAACATCTGAACATGCCTGCCTTCCTCTGCTGTAAGTATGGTCTGATCACTTTATTCCTACATGATTATACGACCCCCCCCACCCCCACACACTACACACACACCCACACACCTCCCAACACATTCGACAGACGTAGGTACCAGTACAGGCAGACGGCCAACGACAGACAAAGAGTCAATACGATGCGCTTGTGTTAATGCCGACGTGCGTGCGAAATTTAATTCATTATAAGCATTGATCACAAAAAAACATCGTGAGAATACGGAAACACGCGGCTTCGAAATCACTCCGCTCGCGAGGCGACTGAAGAGAGAGAGAAAGAGAAGAAAGAGAGAGAAGAGAGAGAGACAGGAAAGAAAAGAGAGAGAGAAAGAGGAGAAGAGTTGAGAGAGACACAGAGAGAGAGAAGAGAAGAGAAGGAGGAGAGCAGAGAGAGAGAGAGAGAGAGAGGAGAGAGAGAGATGGAGGAGAGAGAGAGAGAGAAGAGAGAGGAGAGAGCAGATGACGCAGAGCAGGAGAGAGAGAGAGACGAGAGAGAGAAGAGATGCATGAGAGGGAGGAAGAGAGAGAGCAGAGAGAGATCGAGAGAGAAGAGAGAGAGGACAGAGAGAAGAGAGAGAGAGGAGGAGAGAGAGAGAGAGAAGAGAGGAGAGAGAGAGAGAGGGAAGAGGAGGGGGGGGGCGCCGGCGCGGGGTGGGGCCGGCGGGCGGGCGGCGGGGCCGGCGGGGGGCGGCGCGGGAAGAGAGAGAGAGAGAGAGAGAAGAGAGAGGACGAGAGAGGAAAGGAGAAGAGAGGGACGAGACAGAGAGGGGTAGAGCAGAAAATGAGAGAGAGAGAGAGAGAGAGAGAGAGAGAGAGAGAGAGAGACGAGAGAGAGAGAGAGAGCCACATTTTCTCACTCACTCGCCATAACATTAAGCAATTTTCGCCCCGCCACCTGGATTCGCTCGTTACGGCAGCGCCCCCTACCGTGCTCCCTACTAACGGCAACGGAAAGCAGCAAACGACGCATAAATACGATGACGAGAAAGTTAATACTTCTGAGTAATACTCCGATACTTCTGATACTGATGTGCTGTCATATACTTACAACGATACGCCGCGGACATGCGCGCACACGCGCCCTCGGTAATTCATGTTTAGAATGCCAGCTATTCCCGGACAAAACCATCGACAACGTTGTCTTCCGTCGTTCATTAAGCTAACACTCCTCTCCTCTATCTCTCGCACATCTATCTATC